GTTTTTATAATTTCTGGACCCAGGAACCAGTTTGTTGTTATAGTACGGCCTGTGAGTCTATCCATATTAGGGGCCTTGTTCCCAATATGGCATGATCATCTTACACAAATCTTTTGAAGGGGTAAGCTGTTGTTTTACCTTATTGTATAAGTCTTAAATTATAATTGTATATTAATTTTGAGTTTTTATATAACTACAGTTCTCTTTATTATCTGCAGTTAATTGTTTTTCGAATCAATTAAACTCTATATTAAATTAAAATATTATAGGCTAGAGCTCTAACTATTATTAAGAAAAATTAGTATTGATTAAAATTAGTTAAAATAAAATACAATCTAGTTTGTATATTCAAATATAAAAGAAGTCTTGATTAAGGAAGTTGAATACATATCTTTTAACTTATTATATTGTCTAATTACTATTAGCATACTTTTGATAATTATTATAATATTAACTAAAATAATTGTTATATCTTAATATTTTTTTTGGAGATTATATCTGCTGGATCAATATATGAAATGGCTTCATATAAAAAACAATACTTAATAGGTTATAGTATTAAATATTATATAAGATATATTTAATTATTTTCTCCTGGAATTAAACTAATATTTTGTAATTTAATTTATAAAGTATTAATTATTGTACTATAGACTTACAAGTTTATAAGTTATAATTAATTTATAATTATTCATTATTATTTTTTTTTTCAGTAAGTAAATGTATTTTCTTTATTTATTGATATTATACTTAAAGTTATATACATATATGAAAGAAATAATATCTCTTGTATACGAAAATGCAACAAATTAAATGCTAACTTGCCTACATATTTATACTTAACTAATATCAAAAAAAAAATTTTAAAACAATATTATATATGCTAAACATAGCTGAGTAACAGTTATATTTACTTACTCAGAATTTTTTGTTAGATATAAATGAAATAAGAAGTAAAAGAAACTTGAGAAAAAAAAATTTTCTATATTTAATGCTATACAAGTAAGAAATATAATAAAACTAGTTATATAATTAAGGATGCTTATTTAATATATTACTTTAATAGTTTCATTCTATTTGAGTATATTAAAGAATATACTTTTTTGATTGACTAAATTACTATCCAAAATATATAGTAGTGATAATGACATGTCTTCTTGATAGCTGCCAGTATATGATGATAGTAGTTGATTGGTTAGATGGTTATTTGAATATATGATAATAAAACTAATTATAATTAAAGATACTTATTCAGCATACCACTCTGATAGTTCCAATTTGTTTGAATATATTGAAGAATATACTTTTGTGATTGGTCAAGCTACTGTCCAAAATATATAGTTGTGATAATAATATATGTCCTTAATAGTTGATAGTATATAGTAATAGTGATTAATTAGTTGAATAGTTGTTTGAATATGATAAGTTTAGATGTGGTAGTTGTTAATTTGCAGAGTTGGAGCTGTGTTGTTGTTTTTGGATTGATGATTAATGGAACATGTTTGATATTTTAATGTTTATTAATAGAATAAGGTCATGTGGTGGAATGGATTTCTATTTTTGGTATTGTTTATATTGATCTTTGGCAGGTATAATAAATGTGTTTGAATATTTGGTAATGTGTGATTGGTTGAAGGTAGAATGTTAATTAGTTGTTAGAGACAAATTGATTATGGTTTTTTGAAAAAAAATTTTTTTGAACAAGAATTTTTGTTTTTTTTATGGCACAATAAAATATATTGAGTGATAGTAAAAGTTGTTTTTTGTATATAACAATGGTTTTCCAGGCCAGTAATATAAACAAAGTTAATATAAGAATTTGTGTTTTGGAATGAAATAAAGTTCTTCCAGTCAGGAATATGAATATTTAAAAATATTTGTATATTAATAAAAGATGTTTTAATAAGAAATAGAAATAGGAAAAACCCTAGGAAAACTTGTAAAAAAGCAGCTGCCATAAGCATTTCCTTATACAATTCAAGAGAAAAACAAGTGCACCAGTGTGCTTTAAGGTTTTTAATAATGAAGGTTAAAGAAGTGTAGAGGACTTATGAGTATTGGAAAACAAAAGGAATATTTTCTCTAATTTTGAAAGATTACTATAAAAGAAAATTTTTAAGAAAAATATTGTGTACAGAAAAGAGTTTTTTTTAGAAAAAAACTATAATTAATTTATTGTATAAAAATATTAATATTATTATTATTTAGATAAATATTATTTTTTTATAAAATTGATAAAAAAAACAATATTTCTTACAATATATGTAATAATATAACAAGTTAAATGTTAACTTGCTTATAGTAATTGTTTAACTAATATTGAAAAAAATTTTAAAACAATATATCTTGTTAAGTAGCTCTAAACAATTATGATTATCTACTCAGTATTGGGTAAAAGAAAGTTGAAATAATTAAATATTAATATAATAATATATTTGGAAAAATTATATTTGCTTTGAATATATAGGTCTATAACTATAGTTAGTAGATCAATAATAGTAAAAGTTTATGTAATAATGAAGAAAAAATTATCAAATAATTTTGATATAAAAATATTATTAATATAGGTATATAAATATAATATTTAATAAAAGTCTTATATTAAAAAAAACTCTTTTCCGCATACAATATTTTTCTTAAAAATTTTCTTTTATAATAATCTTTTTCAAAATTAAAGAAACAAATTTTTTTTTTGTCTTTAAATATCCAAAAGTCCTTTACACTTCTCTTATTTTCAATACAAAAACCTCAAGAAAATCAAAGAAGTATATTGATACATTGGAGTAAAACTTTTGATCAAAGAAAAGCAAGTTTTAGGCTCTTGTTTCTTCTTTGGATTGCATGAGAAAAGACCCATGGCAGTTACTTCTTCACAAGCTTTTCTTGGGATTTTTTTTATTTCTACTCTTATCAAAATATACTTTTTATTAAATAAACATATTTTTCTTTCTGTTGGTTTTATTTTTTTCAAAAAATCAAACTTTATATCAAAATTATCTATACTGTTAGTTTGAGGCACTAGTAATATTTACAGTTTCTATTTCTTAATATCACTTAGCATGTATTGTTACATTACAAAAATAAAAAATTTTCATAAAAAAAATTTCTCATCAAAAAACCATAATTAATTTACTTCTGTTAACTGAACATCATCTCAAATTTAATCAAAACAAACCAATATCACCTGGACACCACATAACAATTGATATAAACAAACACATTTTTAATAAAAACAATTAAAACAAAATTATATTAATGATAATCACTATTATTATAGTTAACAATTCAAATAACTGCAACTTCAACAACAAATAATATTACATATATTATATTATTTGTATTAGTAAGAGACATGTTTACAAGAGAAAAGATCCAGAGATATTTCATTTATTAATCATTTTTTCATGGAAGAATTTAAAGATACTTTATATATTAGTACTCTGTTAGGAGCTAGAAATACTTTGTATATTAATTGTCTTCTGAAGAAAAGATCTAAAAATACTTTATTTGTTAACTGTTTTTTCAAAAAGATATAAGTTTTACTTTTACAAATTTTATAATTTATATAACTTTGTTCTAGTTTTAGTTTCAGTTATTTTAATTGTTTTTCCTTTAATTATATCTATATATTTTTTTTTCTTCAATTTCTCTATATTTTTTAAACTTGTTTTTTTCTCCAAACAGTTTTGAATAGACATTCATAGCTGATGGTATCATTTAATTAATATACTAGTTTTAAAATTTCTTTTCTAGTAGAAGTTAAATGATTACTGTAAGTAGATTAACATTAAACTCATTGTAACTTGCATGTGAAAGATGTTGTTTCTTTCTAAATATATATTTTGTAATATATGAATAAATAAAAAAAATGATATTTATCTACTCAAAAAATAATAATAATAATAAAATAAAAGTCTTATATTTAATACTTGTTAAAAAAAATTAAAATATAATAATTTAATTTAATAAAACTATATTTTAATTTTTTGAAATTAAAAAATATAAATATTGCTAAAAAAAATCAATAGACTTTTTAAAAGATCAATATATAATTTTTATAATTAATTTAATAAAGATAATGTGAAAATTTTTTACTTATTATAGTATAAAATATTTATTAAGAATTAAGAAAAATTTTAATATTGAGCTTTATAGATAAATTTTAAAGAAAGAATTAATATATTCATTAAGATATTATAATTTAGTTTCTAAAAATATTATATTAATAGTTCAAAATATAAGATAAAAATAGTTTAAAAATAATTAAAAAAAATAATAAAATTAGAACTATTTCTTGATTATCAAATCTTCAAATTAAATCAATAAAAAATATTCAAAATAATATAAAAAAAAAGTTAATAATTTAAAGATTAATATTAAAGATAAAAAAACTCTTTGGAATAATTTAATGGGAGCTTGAAATAAAACATTTGAAAAAACTTATAAGAAATACATGTATATAGAAACAATATTATTAAGGCCAAGGGTGATTATACAATATGGTAATAAAAATAAAATACATTTGTATAATTTTTATGTTTTTTTTTTTGAAAATAAATAAAAATTTACTATTTTTTTTAAAAACTCCAAAAATAATGCAATAGTAAATTTTTGAAAATTTATCACAAAAAATTTTTTTATTATGTAATCTTATATACCATCTATATTATAAATTTCAATATAATCTGATTTAATTTACTTTTTGTGTACTTGATGTCCACAATGTTCAAGATACGAATTTAAATTAAATCTTGATAGAATGCAGAAAATTGCGAAATCGCGTGGTGGATTTGTTATTATTTCAATTACTTTTTGTATATATGACGTCACAGCGACCGACATATTAACCCCCAAATTTTTACCTATCATATATGCAGATGGCTAAAAATAAGAAGCCTGAAACTTTATTTTTTCAATGATGCAATTGCATTAAAATTCAAGATCGTCATCATCCTTATTTATTACATTTAATAAACATTTATTCCCTCTCCTACACTCCATTAATGTCCTATTTTACTTTCTATTTCTTCAATCGCAGTCAATACTTGAAATTTTTGAGATTTACTTTTTGGTGTCCACCATGGTTCGTGAATAAATGTTGATTTGCACTGTACGGATTTTTCGTCATCAATTTTGAAGATATCCTCGAGTAAGTTACGCCCATGGTCCAGTTCATCAAACATTTTATTGATTTTTTCATATGTTTCCTGTGCAAAATGATTAATTTATATGTCATTTTCTTTGATGTCAAGATAGGAAAAAAATAATCCCAATCAACCAACTTTTAATACATACCATTACATGGTTAAAAATTTTTAATGTTGATTTTAATTTTCCCAAGTGAGCCAATTTTGTTGGTAACATGAATGTTGAACCGGGAAAAACAACGTAAAAGCCATTTACCATGTCTTCTACCAGCAGCTGTCCGAAAACGCCAGCAACTTGTATAAATGGAACCTTGATCATATCCGCTTGTTTATCAGCCAATTTTCTGCTTAACAGGCCGTTCAATATTGATTGATTGATTCTAGCTGAGCGACAACGATCTCCAACTGCTTTATTTGGAGTTGCTTCGGCAGCAAACTCCCATTCACCAAGATCTATTCCTGAATGACTTAAGAATCGGACATCGCACTTGCGTCCTTTCTCATGACTTGTGGATTTGCTCAGAGGACAAAATGATTCGCCCCTAATGCACAAGAAATTCATAAACTTATAACTTGTTAAAGTCAAAAAGGTATTCTTTATTTACCATTTACAATGTATTCCATTTCCATTTCGTAGTCCATCAACAATGTAAGAACATGCTTTTACAATAACATCAATTTCGGTGTGATGTTCACCGCCACACTCTAACAGATCATTTCCGTCTTTGACTTTAAAGAGGCTATATAAATTAGAAAGATAAAGACAAGCTACAAATAATAAAATTAATATAAGTACTCACAAATCACTATAAACTCTACTTATTTTATAAAGACAAGTACGGACTGATGCATCTGCATGCTGATTGAGACAATATTTG